CAAACACTCCTTCATACAAACTTCTTGATCTATGGAGCCCGTGGTCATGATTTTTTGCTCTCGTGCCACACGGGCAGATGGCTTGTAGCACCAAGTATTTATTAGGGCAAAAAAAAATAACAAAAAACAAGGAACTTGGCCAGTATTTTTAGCTTGAAGGTATCTTGGACTCCATTTGTCTTCGTTGCATTATAAAACTCAGCGCCCCGAATCTGCTTAAAGGCAGCTTCGAGGTATGTTTCCTCGTTCACACATACCTTTTCATGCTTTTTGCACAAAATTTTCTCCGAAAGCTCACACTTCGCCGCACATATTTTGAGGAGTACGTACAAGTTACAAAAAGTAGATACGCGAAATTAACAACGACAACATACCCTATGAATGTGTCTACCTACTTTTTATTTAGTTAGTTTTACGCAAGTGATGAGCAAAAACAATTGACTAGTTTTTCTTCGTGTCCATTCTTTATATTAACAGCATTTCATCACAATGATTTCGCTTCTGCTCCAAGCAGCCTCCTTTAAGCTTGATATACAGTTTAATACGAGCGTGAGCGTAAACTTTCACAAATGCAAAGAATTCCATTTGTATTCTTATGGACGCTCACACACATCTGTCAAAACTTGTCGTTCACATGCGAATGCTTTGCACATAGTTGAGTGTGAGCTCGAGAAAAGGCATACTATGCATTTTAAGTTAGTTTTTATTTGATAATTCTGAAAGATATTTTAATTCTCTATCCTTTGATGTATCAACTATTGCAAAAAGTTAAGTAATAACGAAGATATTGGTCAAAATATAAAGCTCACGCTCGCATTGAACTGTATATCAGGCTTTAGCAAGTTAACTAATCAATCCCGCTGAGATGCTGCTACAGCAGCCTAATTGCAAAACAATGGAGTGCACTAAAACGATCATTATTCTCTAATAGGTTAGGTGAAAATGCAATATTTTCGCATTTAGCAAAATTAAAACACGTTTTTCGCTGTAAAGTGAACTGTTTTGACAGTTTCAACAAAGAACGTAGATAACAAGATGGGACAACTCGTTATAATTGTAGCGAAAGAGCGCAACAGGGGCGTGCCTTCTCTTTTGCCCTAGTGCGTGTTTTGATTGGATGTTCTTGTTATCTACGTTCTTGGGTGTAATGTGCATTTATATATATGAAAGTATGTGACAGAGGAACATTTTCATTTAAGAAATTTAAAAAAAAAAACTTATAAACAATGATATTGTTTATATTTTTTTGTTATATAGCATTAACACATCATTAAGTTAAACTTTTGGCAAATAAAATTAACCTTTTGACAAATAAATTTAATTTTTTGGCAAATAAAATTAATCTTTTTGTCGATATCTTTTATCTTTTGGCAAATAAATTTGACCTTTTGGCGAATAGAATTAGTCTTTTGGCAAACAAATTCAATATTTTGGCAAATATATTTAACCTTTTGCACAGCAACAGCAGTGTTTTAGTGTATTTGTTACTTTTCCAAACACTGTTTAGTACTACAGTAGAGTTTAATTTTATTTGCCAAAAGATTCAATTTATTTGCCAAAAGATTAGTTTTATTTGCACAAAGGTTAAATTTATTTGCCAAAAGATAAAATTTATTTGCTAAAAGATTAAATTTATTTGCCAAAACATTAGTTCTATTTATCAAAAGTTTAACTCAATGTGTCAATGCTATACATGTTTTAGAGGATACCTCCCTCCTGAATATCCTGACCAAGTTTCCTTTGTTAATTCCACCTGGGTTTCTTAAACACAGAGTGCGGCTGACTACTAAAGCCCGCCCCACAAATGTCAACGGCCAGGTCGGCGCAATCTTGTATTCTTGTGTTTTAAAAAGTAAAAAATTTACTAAAAAACTGCTGTTGCTGTGCTAGGACAGCATTTTCTTTACTTTTGACGCTTAGCTTTACTGCGCCAATATCAAGTGTTAACCTGCAGGATAGCTGAAAAGTGTTTTTTTGTTTTTCTGTTCTGTTGATTTCACCGCTCACTTCGAAAATGTTTTCTTTTTGGAAATTTCAAGACATAAATACATTTTTTTGTACCTGCATTTGAAAATATATTAAGGGAGATTTGTAGCATTTTAGATGTTTTTTATCCCATTTGGCCATAATGCGTGGTTTGGTTGAAATAAAGTGTGCCGGATAGTTTGACGAATTTGAAATTATGCTGTGACAGAACTGTTTGAAAGTGAGCAGTCAAATCAACAGAACGGAAAAACCAAAAAACACTTTTCAGCTATCCTGCAGGTAAACTCTTGATATTGGCGCAGTTAAGCTATGCGTCAGAAGAAAAATATGCTTTCCTAGCACGGCAGTTTTTTTAGTGTATTTTTTACTTTATCAAACACTGTTTTTAGTACTAATTTAATTTATTTGCTAAAAGATTAAATTTTTTTCCCAAAGGTTAATTTTATTTGCAAAAGTTAAATTTATTTCCCAAAAGATTAAATTTATTTGCGAAAAGATTAATTTTATTTGCCAAAAGATTAATTTTATTTGCCAAAGTTTAACTTAATATGTCAATGCTATACATGTTTTAGGGCCGTTTGCACCATGTCTAGTTAATTCTAACTCCCAGTTAAACATCTTTATCGACGTTATCGACACTCATCATATAACATGTGATCGATAAAGCAGTTAACGTGCTTAACTGAAGGATGTACCTCCAGTTAGCGTTAACTAGACATGGTGCAAACGGCCCTTAGAGGATACCTCCCTTAAGCTTTATTTGTTAATTCCACCTGGTTTTCTTAAACAAAAAGTGCGGCTGACTACTAAAGCCCACCCCACAAATGTCAACGGCCAGGACGGCGCAATCTTGTATTCTATCATTCTTGCGCAACACTAATTATCTAACCTTTACAGGTCTATTCTGCGCTGGAAATAAAATGTTTGTAACCGGTAAATAAAGTTCCTGTCAATTTTTAAACCCTTTTCGCATTCTGTATACTCTTGTAACCGGTAAATTTTGATACCATCTCATAAGCTGGTAACAAATTATTGCCCCGTGAAATATGCAATGCCAAGATTTGCACAATTCTTCATAGCTGAATTGCTGAATATTTTAACTGCATTACCAACGTACCTAGAATCGCGGTGACAAGAACTGGTAACATTTTTTGGTAATACAATTTTCCGGTTACAAAATCTTCGGTAACGTCCAGAATAGACCTGTTAATTATTGAATCATCATTGCCGAATTTTGGCTATGTGCCAACGCCAAAGTTATATGTGAACGGGCCTTAATGTAAACGCAGGTTAAGCGATTCGTTTACTGCCCGTCTTCACGTGCTGGTAAATCTCGCTTGCGTGACGACGCATGCGAGAAACCGCACGTGTAGACCGCAAAAAGTAGTGAATGTAGCCCTATGGACGGACAACTTCTGAGATACTTCGCCGACCTAAACGGGGTTAGACAGCTGCTTGCAGAGGAGCCCTCGCCTAGGCACGTCAGGAGGCATCTATATGAACTGACGGACGAAGTCCAGAGGTTCATTAAGCAACCTCTGGACCCGACAGCTTACAGACAGGCCCTGAACGGCATTCACAGGGACTCAGTCTCGAGTTATGTAGACTCTAGACCTGTGAATGCCGTTCTAGGCATACCACCCCCGGGCATAGACGAGACGGAGCTTCATCTGCCTCGGGAGACACGCACAACACTCGCACAACTTCGCTCCGGCTACTGCAGCAGGTTGAACTCCTACTTGAGTAGATTGAATGAGGATGTGCCGAATGAGTGTCCGGCATGCGGAGAGACCCCACATGACTCGAAACATCTCTTCGCATGCCCGGAAAACCCGACAACCCTAACGGCCTTGTCCCTGTAGACAAACCCCACAGAAGCTGCACGCTTCCTAGGGTTGCCGTTAGTGGAACTTGACGACAACGACTGAGATACCAACCGTCCTGGGCGGGGTTGCTGTAGCCGCTACAACAACAACAACAACCGCAAAAAGTACGAAGCATGCTTTTTCTCGCATACCGAGCGGTATGCGAGCTCTCGCTTGCTTTCAACTGTCATTTTTCTTGTTTGACAGCTATGTTCTCATTTCGCAGAATTCTTCAGAGTAGCAACATCGTTCATTTTGGAGGCAAATACAAATTTAGAGGCAGCCATTTTGCATTTGAAAATAGTATACATCACTTTATGCAGATTTTCTAATTTTCTCAAACTTTTTAAGACCCGTCCACATGGAACTTTGGCGTTGCGTTGGCGTTGGCGTCGCTTCAACAGCTGACTATGAATACATGAATTCAAATGCAGCCGTCCACATAGCCAAAACTCGACAACGCTCACGCCAACACAAAGCAAAAAGATGGCCAACTCTCAACTTTTCGCGTGCGTCACTCGTCAGCGGTTGCAAATAAATAGAATTATGTGAAATATTTTTCCTTTTTAATCAAGTGCGGGCAAGAAATATCGGCCCGTAGTCATAGTCAAAATAAAGTCGACTTTAAAGTTAGTTGCAGCTTTTTGACATAATTTTCAATGGGATATCTGTCATAAAAGCTGCAACTAACTTTAAAGTCGACTTTATTTTGACTATGACTACGGGCCATCGTTTTTAATGCAATTATTGATATGAAATATTAATTTATCTGTCGTTAGTATGTTAATTTAGTGGCCTAAGTATTCGCTTTCAAGCGTTCATTGTAGCAAGCATACTTTTAACGTGCGTTTTGTCAAACCAACGCCAACGCCAAAGCCAACGAAAGTTCTATGTGGACGGGCCTTAAGAGCCTGCAAGGCTTGAACCTTCTTGTTTGGCGACATTTTACAAATGAAAAAGTATGCTGTCAAATGCCCAGTCAACAAAACTGTATCTCGCTTGCGAGAGAAAAAAGCAGAATGCAAGCGAGATTTTCAAGCTTGTGACGACGGCCGGTTAGTCGCTGTCGTAGGATAGGTCGGTTAATTGTCATCCTGTTATTAATTTCTATTTCCGATAACCACATGAGCGCGCTGTTGTTTCTTCTCAAAACGTTTTCATTAAAATACATTATCGGCCAAATGACTTTTAGGTTTTGCAATTCAGCTAGGTGTGAAGGATAGAAATTGTTGAACAATTTGCATTTGTACCACATAAGTTAAAATGCCTGCCTTTAAAGGTATAACTATATTGGCGATAGGATAATTATTTTAAACATATGAAATTCCTTTTTTCCATTAGTTAAAGTGAAATGGGGACGCGAACTTTTTCCGGATATTGAAGTTAATACCGATGAAGAACCAATTTTGTTTAAAGCCCAACTGTTTGCCCTTACAGGAGTTCAACCCGAACGCCAGAAAGTAATGTGCAAAGGCGGTATTTTAAAGGATAATGAATGGAACCTGCAATTAAAAGATGTAAGTAAACATTTTTATCAGAGAACTGCTTAATCTTATCTTGCATGTGAAAGGGGGCTACTGTGTTGCTGTTAGGCACAAAGGAGCAAGTTCCTGAGGAACCAGTAACTCCTGTCAAATTTATAGAAGACATGAATGATGCAGAAATGGCTAATGCGGTGAGTTTATATAAATATATCTCTGTTAATAACGTTAATAACTTATTATTAAAAAAATAATCGAATAAAATAGATGGAATTACCTGCGGGTCTGACAAATTTAGGCAATACCTGTTATATGAATGCGACAGTGCAATGTTTGCATGTGGTGCCTGAATTGCGAGAAGCTCTTGAAAAATATCGAGTGGATAGCGAAGATTCTGGTTCGATGTCTACCGCAATGGCATCGGCCATAAAATTTTTGTTTAAACAAATGGAGCGCGGAAGTACAGTGACTCCAATTATTTTACTTCAGACGTTACATAGAGCATCGCCACAATTTTCACAAGTTGGCGAAAACGGAACATATCGTCAACAGGATGCTAATGAATGTTGGTCCGAGTTACTTAAAATGCTGCAGCAAAAAATACCTGCTTCCAATGACAAAGTTCTTGAAGGTAGCAGCATCAAGAAATACAAGTAAGAAAGACGGATGTCAATATTTTCAATAGACTTCTTGATGGAAAACGTATATTTTTAAATAAAGCAACTAAGGTCCGTTTTCTGGAGTACCCTTTAACTTTAAAGTTCACTTTATATTTAAAGGTTAAATAAAGTGAGCTTTAAAGTTACAGCTTACATGACAAAACGGCCCTAAATCGGTATTTTTAACCATTTTTAAGCGATTGAATCGAATTATTTTATGGATATATGGTTTACATCTTCAGTAGCTTTTTACTAATTGTTGAAAATCGTTTGAAGAATGTAAATGTCTAATTCATACAATATTTATTTTCAAGTTCTTTTATAGAGCAATACTTTGGCGGTTCGTTTGAGGTAAAAATGAGTTGTACAGAAACTGAAGATGAAGAGCCAACTATAGCAAAAGAGCAATTTCTTCAACTGAGCTGTTTTATATCGACGGAAGTTAAATATATGCATAGTGGTTTAAAATCGGTATAATAAGCATACATAATCGCTATAATATTTTTCTAATAACATTGTATTTTTATATACAGAGAATGAAGGAACAACTGGTAAAACGATCGGAAACTTTAGGGCGCGATGCCAATTACATAAGAACTGTAAGTATTCCCTTCTCTAAATATTTTGGATATAATGCATTTTTCAAGTAACTTGAATTAAAATTGTTAAACTTTTGCAGTCGCTTATAAGTCGCCTTCCAGCATATTTAACGATACAATTTGTCCGTTTTCAATACAAGGGTAAGGAAGGCATAAATGCCAAAGTTTTGAAAGATATAAAATTCCCGATCGAATTCGATGCATTTGAGTTATGTACTCCTGAACTGCAAAATAAGCTGTGTCCAATGAGAGCTAAATTTAAAGAAGCGGAAGATAAGCATTTAGAAGGCGATATTAAAGCAATTGCTGAACAAAATAAAATTTCTGTCAACGAAACTGATAAAACTGTTGAAACCGAAAACTATTGGTTCGAAGATGATCCAGGCAGCAATAACTCTGGATATTATACTCTTCAAGCTGTATTAACGCATAAAGGAAGGTCAAGTTCTTCGGGACATTACGTAGCTTGGGTTAAACACACTGGTGATATCTGGTTTAAGTTTGATGACGATGTGGTGACGTCCGTAACCACTGAGGATATTCTTCGCCTTTCAGGAGGTGGTGATTGGCATTGCGCTTATGTACTTCTGTACGGACCAAAATTGCTGAAGAAACAATGAAATTAAATTAATATTATAATTATGATATTTGGTCTTTAAATATTTCATGTAGAATAGACTAAAGGGTGCCGGTTTCTATTAATTTTTCTCAAACTTCGTTGGCTATGTTACAATCAACGCGAATTTATATAAGCTGGTGTCGTCTCATCAGCTGTTAGTAGCCGGTGCGTTTAGAAAAGCATCAGGGAAAGCTTTAGTTATTTACCGGACGTTTTTGTGGTGGGGGCGGAGGGGGAGGGGCATGGCCCCCTAATCCACCCCATTCGAAAAGGGACAGCCCCTTTCCCGCACTTAGGGATTATAACACTCACAAAGTAGAATTCTCCTCTCTGTTTTGCGAAGAAAAGGAGCTGAACACCTTTTTTAATGCTGACTGGGTTATATCCTATCTTCTTTTGTCTCATTCTTTTGCATATTTTTCAGTTTGACTGCTGAACTCCGCCATTTAATTTGCATATGCAGCCAAAGTCGGACGCGCGATTTTGAAGGTGTTTTTATTTAATGAATTGTGAGTAATTGGTTAATATTAAAGTCGTGAAGAAAGTTATAACGGGTACTGTTTAGTAAGTGGCCCACCTATTTCGGGGTATTGCGTCCAAAGGGGTGACCCGATCCAAAAATTGCACACACTTGTAGCCAAGGGTCTACCCATTATTTTAACATCCACTATTGTAATTTTGGGTCACTAATTTATTTACAAATTGGGTTTGAAATATGCCCTTTTTTGTAAAATTCGGAAATTAGCGTAAATTTATCACTCCTATTCTCCTTAAAGCAGCTACATCAGCAATATATTTTTATATTCTCCTTCACTTTACACTTTACTCGATGAGCTATAACTTTCTTTATAACTTTAATATTAACCAATTAATCACAATTTATTAAATAAAAACACCTTCTAAATCATGCGTCTGACTTTTGTTGCATATGCAAATTAAATGGCGTAGTTCAGCTGTCAAACTCCAAAATATGCAAAAGAATGAGAGACAAAAGAAAATAAGATATAACCCTGTAAGCATTAAAAATATACAAAGGTGTTCTCTGTAAAAGGTATTCAGCTCCTTTTCTTCGCAAAACAGAAAGGAGAATTCTACTGCCTGAGGGTTATAATCCCTAAGTGCGGCCGAAGGCCGCCTACGTAGAAAGGTGTTCTCTGCAAAAGGTGTTCAGCCCCCCTTCTTTGGCAACACAGAAAGGAGAATTCTACTGCCTGAGGGTTATAATCCCTAAGTGCGGCCGAAGGCCGCCTACGCAGAAAGGTGTTCTCTGCAAAAGGTGTTCAGCCCCCCTTCTTTGGCTACACAGAAAGGAGAATTCTACTGCCTGAGGGTTATAATCCCTAAGTGCGGCCGAAGGCCGCCTACGCACAAAGGTGTTCTCTGCGAAAGGTGTTTAGCCCTCCTTTTTTCGCCTGATAACCACCTTGGGATAACTTCTTTTATTTAAAAACCCCACAGATTCTGTTAGTTGGGTTATATTCCACTTCAAACTGCTCAGTTTGCCTCGGAAAATGCCGTTTTTACCCCATTTTCAAACGGTTCCCTAGGGGTCTGTGGGAGGTCCCCAACGGGGGGTGGGGCTTTTCGTAAAGTGGCGACTGGCCCCTTTCGAATGAGGGGGATTTGGGAGGCCACGCCCCCTCCCCCTCCGCCCCCCACCCCAAAAACGATGGGCCAATAACTAAACATTTCCCGTTATAACTAATCGAATACAAAAAATGTATACAAATGTAAATACAAAAATGTATTGGTGAAGTTGCTGCTTTAGGGAGAGTAGGAGTGGTAAATGTACGCTAATTTCCGAATTTTACAAAAACGGGCATATTTCAAACCCAATTTGTAAATAAATTAGTGACCAAAAATTACAAAAGTGGGTGTTAAAATAACGTGCAGAACCTTGACTACAAGTGCGTACTAAACGTAACGTACTAAAGAGTACCCAAGCATCAAGCCGTCTATTTTCTAAGGGGATTCCTTTAAACTCGTAAAGTCTTAAACCGTGTAAAACGCCTAAGTTTACGAGGCTTTAAGGGGAACGCCCCTTTGCGAAAAGGTATAAATAGGTGCGTAAAGTGACTGTTTGACAGATCAACCAGGATTTTGTGCAGCAATTTTTGTTTCGCACTATTTTCCATAACATCCCGCCATCTTGTCTTTATCACTCTTGGCTAAAATACAATAAGGGTATTCATCAACCGTATAAACTTATAATTGCGTAAACCTTATAAATGAACTGTCAAAATTTTTATGGAAACTCGTTTACGCATTTCTGATAAATTTCTCCAGCGATTTCACTGAATAAACTTGATAAACTGAAGCCAATGCAACTCTGACGCAACTCTAGCTATTGTTTCGATTATCCTTGAAACCTCGTCCGGCAAGAATGATAGAATACAAGATTGCGCCGTCCTGGCCGTTGACATCTGTGTACCACAAGTAAACAAAGAATAGAGCAAAAAGAAGAACGAGTTGAAACTGCCAAAACAGTTCACTTTACAGCGAAAATTGTGTTTTAATTATGATAAATGCGAAAATATTGCATTTTTCACCTAATCTATTAGAGAATAGTGAATGTTTTAGTGCACTCCATTGCATTGCAATTGAGGCTGCTGCATCAAACATTTTAGTGCACTCCATTGATTTGCAATTAAGGCGGCTGCAGCAAACTGCGCCAGCATCTCAGCGGGATTGATTAGTTAACTTGCTAAAGGAAGCTGCTTGGATCAGAAGCGAAATCATTGTGATAACATTTCAGGAGCGGCTTTGCCGCGCCTTATCTATGTACACAAAATGCAGGGATTCGTCGCAGCGCTACACTTGCATCTACGCATCTTGAATCTTGACGGATGCCGCACTTCATTTTATTCGTTGTTACGCAGCCTTTAACTCAAAAATCACTCACAAATTGCAAATTAACACAATTTAAACTTTTAATTTAAATTTAAAATTTAAATTTTTCACTTACAATTCAAATTTCTCTTTGCTGCTGATTTGTAAACAAAGGTTTATTTACAAGTTACCACAACTGACAAAATCGGCAAAACCAAAGTAGCGGCATGAACCAAAGACACAAGATCACGTAAGAACAAGAGAGTGAAAAAAGTCGGTTTTTTTTTGCGGGTTCTACGCCATCTTGTTTCACTGGAAAACGAGCGAAAAGTAGACAAAGCAAAGAAAACAACGAAAACAAAAATTAGCCAAAATTATTGTCAGCCACTTTAAGCGCACAATTTAGGTAAAATGATGCAATAAAATGCTTGAAAATGTGTTGTCATGTTGAATTAACTCTTCTTTACTTAAATAAAAGAGTAAAATAGTGGTGCTTGTGATGTAAACAAACGCTCAGCTGACGAACCCGCCTTCGCAAACTTTTTTCTCAAAACCAGTTACAAATACAACGTCGCGTTCTTACGTGATCTTGTATTTTTGGTTCATGAAGTAGCGGTACCACTGACGGCGCCACCTTTGTTCGCTGCACCGTGCCCGTCCGGATTTCCCAAATCTCCGGTTCGTATCGCAGGATTGTTAAATAAATGCTAACGATGGCCAAATTTTAGTACAATTAACTTTATTGTACAACAAACAATTTACAATACTCGCTAATACAGTAAAACACTTGTTAATACTTGTTAAAGCAATAACAATTCTTTACTACTTGTTAACACAATTAGCGCCGGTTGTTCAATGTCTGGTTATCACTACCACTACACTTTCGACGATTTCGACATCATGCGATCGATAAAGCAGTCGGTGTACTTAACCGGAGCTTCTACCTCCGATTTGTGTTAATCAGACATTGAACAACCGGCCCTTAAACTTATAGCTTGCTTATGCGCAACTCACTTCTCTGCTCACTTTACTTGTAGCTTGCTGACTTGTAACTCGTAACTAACTTAACTCCGCTGTGACGTGGCTCTTATATACCTGCGCTCGCACTCATGGCAACTCTCGAACGTTCTGAAGTTCATCGCTCATTCTCTTTCTCTCGCTGTTCGCAGTGTTCATCCAACTGACGTTTCTCTTTGTGGAACATTCTACGTCATTCCTCGAACATTCTGCCTATTTCTCGTTGTTCGCTTCGCGTTGTCGCAGTATTCGCCACACCGCCCTCCACCTAAGTCTGATCGCCCCGATCAGACACACTTGCCGCTCCAACCGCTGCAAGTCTTTCCAAGTGGACCACTTCCATCTTGGTCCTCGGTCTCCCCATTGTCTGGATTCGATGCACTGCGTCCTTCAGCGGTTTGTCAATCTTAAACGGGTCTTTCCAGTCAAGTCTTTGCTTGGAGGTGAAGCTTTTCTTCTGCTGCGACATGTACAACCACAATGCGATACTGGACATTGCTTCCGGCTTATCTCCGGGAGTGCACCATCTCACATGGTCGTGCTTCTGCCGGCCACTAATGGTGACCAGACCATGTCTCTTCTCGTGGGCACCCTTTTCGCCAGATCTATGCCGCATCATCTGTCCATGAAACCCAGACTCCCGCTTTCGTGCTGCACTGCCTTTAGCACATCTTGCTATATCCGGATCCTTACGCTGAAGCTTCCGCCGTCGTTTCGTATCTCGCTCTTCCGCCGATGCTAACTTCATTGACCGGACATGTATAATCTCACCTTTGGCTTCCGGCTTAACTGCTCGCCTTTGCCGACCACCTTTTTCGGGACACTTCAAAGCGCGCCTACTGCTCCCACAGCCGCTTCCATTCCCGTCCACCGGCGTATCACCATTGCAACGTGGTTCAGTGGCTTTCCTCCTGCCGGAAACACTGCCTGGCTAGCCATGACCACTTCCTTGTTGCGACCTCTTCTTCACTGAGCTGGCGGAACCGTCACGCTTTTCCTGTATCGGTGAACCACTTCCTTCTCCTGACGAAACCATTTCGTTTCCATTACTGTCAACCTCTGCCCAACTAACCACTTCCGTTTCTGGTGGAATCTTCGGATCTTCCTCTAAGACCAACCGTTTGCTGAAGCACTGGTTGTCGTAACCAACCCTAAGTGCCACTTTCCTGTCGCCATAGGTTAGGATCATTCCCTGGAGGTCAATCTTCATACCTCGACCAATTAGGAAATCCACGCCATGATGACTTCACCCACAATGTCTGCCACAATAAACTTCGTGTACGAGGCCAACCCGTCGATTATTACCTCGCATAGTACTTATCCTAACACTTGGGTTCGCTCACCAGTTGCAGTCTGCAGCTTTGCTCCAGGTAGTGGCTTCACATAAAAAGTAGTCACATCAGGTCGAATAATGGAATGTGACGCTCCAGTATCCACTGTCAGTACTCGCTCCTGCCCATTCACACATCCATCAGTAGTGAGGTTGCTCGCATTCCGGCCAATTTGTGAGACGGACATTATGGGCCCTTCAACTTCTGGAGCCAGCACGCGGCCTTTCCTGCTGGCTCGTTTCAGTTTAACGACTGATTGGAGTTGGCTTCGTCTCCTTCACTCCTGCGTTTGCGTCCTGCTGAATTGTTGAACCCATTGGAACTTGCACTGCAATCGCGGGCGAAGTGGCCTGGCTTTCCATATTCAAAACATTTGCCAGAGCCATTCTTTTTCTCGCCCAGCAGTTGGATAATCTTCTTCAGCATTTCATTTATCTCGTCCGGTGTTTCCACTTTCACGCGATGTGCTTTGTAGCCTGGTCTACTGAGAAGCGCCGCCGTTTCACGCGTGGAGACAGTTTCAGCAAATGTTGGCTTGGGATTCGCGTACGTCTCCCGCTTGGTATACACGTCCCGCATTCCGTTGATGAACCTATGGATTTTTACCCTTTCAAGGTGCTCACCAGATGCGTCTCCAATAGTTAAGTGAGCCAACCTCTCGATCTCTGAAGCGAATTCCTGTAGAGTTTTGTTGGACTTTTGGCAGCGATTCTCTAGCTCCATCTGGTAGATCTGTCGCCTGTGCTCGCTACCATAGCGTCTTTCCACGGCCCCCATCAATGCATCATAATTGTTCCTTTCACAGTCGGGAATAGTCTGCAAGATTTCCGCTGCAGGTCCTTTTAATGCCACGAACATAGCAGCGGATTTATCCTCCATACTCCAACGATTTGCTGTAGCTGTCTTCTCGAACTGGAGCTTAAAGACCTGGAAAGGAATCGTGCCGTCAGAGGTTGGAGTTTTTACCTTGGGAGCGTTCGTCGAAGCGGCTGGACGATTCAACTGCAAGTCTCGGAGTCGACCTTCTAACTCGCCCATCTTAGGGCCGGTTACTCAATGTCTGGTTAACACTAATGTCCGGTTAAACATTGTTATCGACGTATTCGACTCCATTCATATAACAAGGAGTCGGTAACGTCGATATAAAGATGTTTAACCAGAGATTAGTGTTAACCAGACATTGAGTAACCGGCCCTTAGCCTCGACTTTGTCCTGTCTCTCTTCGATTTTTTCCTGTATTTGTACAATCTTTGCATCCTGTACTTCCAGTTGGGATGACATCTGTGCTGATACCGCTGCTGATATACGTGTCTCCAGCGCTTGTATCTGCAATGAAACATCTGACGACAACTGCGACCTTTGTGCTTCAAGCTGTGTTTGCATCTGTGACGACAGCTGTGATGACCTCTGTGACATGGCAGCCAATATCGCGGTCGTGTCCATAGCTGTTGATGAACTTGGAGACTTTTGCTGTTCTTCAACCTTCCCGGATGTCTGCTGCACATCCTTCGACAAACAAGCGGCCTCATCCTTCTGTTCATCGTTTGCGGATGCATCGTCGAGTTTACAGTGGAAGTCGTATTTGTCCACGTCGATGCCTTTTGCTTCCATAGCCTCTCGAAACCGGGATATCATTTCCACTTTTATTCCGGAGGTAGCCAAATTACACTTTTCCAACTCCTGTTTGAGTTCCTCAATCTTTAAGTCCTGAATTTTTGCCATTTTCAAAAGTTTATCCTTCGGGATTTATTTAACGATCCCACTTCTGACACCAATTGTTACGATTATCCTTGAAACCTCGAATGAACCAAAAATACAAGATCACGTAAGAACGCGACGTTGTATTTGTAACTGGTTTTGAGAAAAAAGTTTGCGAAAGCGGGTTCGTCAGCTGAGCGTTTGTTTACATCACAAGCACCACTATTTTACACTTTTATTCAAGTAAAGAAGAGTTTATTCAACATGACAATACATTTTAAAGCATTTTGTTGCATCATTTTACCTAAATTGTGCGTTTAAAGTGGCTGACAATAGTTTTGGCTAATTTTGGTTTACGTTGTTTTCTTTGCTTTGTTTACTTTTCGCTCGTTTTCCAGTGAAACAAGATGGCATAGAACTCTCTAAAAAATCAACTTTTTTCACTTTCTTGTTCTTACGTGATCTTGTGTCTTTCGTTCATGGAAACCTCGTCCGGATTTCCCAAAGCTTCCGGTTCGTATCGCTGGATTGTTAAATAAATGCTAACGATGACCAAATTGTAGTACAATTAATTTCATTGTACAACAAACAATTTACAATACTCGCTAATACACTTTACAATACTTGTTAAAGCAATAACAATAGATAGATAGTTGGTTGGGTATGGCACTGCGACCAGTAGGTCTATTGTGCCCCAAGCAATAACAATTCTTTACTACTTGTTAACACAATTAGGGCCGGTTGTTCAATGTATGATTAGCACTAATCGGAGGTAGAAGCTCTGGTTATATACAACGACTGCTTTATCGATCACATCTTATATGCATGATCATGATTCAATAATACAAGGTTAGATAATTATTGACAGCTGCGGTTTGACACTCCCTTACA